CTTCAGGATCAATCAACTTGTTTTTGCCTTTCTTCACAGAATTCAGCGCCTTACCTATCAAAGGCACAGACTCATGGCTCTTGAAGGTGAGGACTGGATGACAATTGTTGTGGATGGTATGGATCAAAAGAAAACCAGTGTTCCCCGTTTTGCAAGGGAAGATAAGAACACAATCAACCTCCCAATTATCAACACCCATATCACAGGTACATACCCATTTCTGGTGTATCAATTAATGCGTCCATGCATCTAAGACACTCAGGTTTCTGCTACTATTCATTTTTCAATGTTGCAGTATCCACCACAGCAATTATAGCATGTGCAGCTCTTTTACGCTACACATTGACTCTCTTGAAATTTTCATTTTTTCAAGAGCCAAGAATGCTGAAGCTCTGTCTCCATTATTGTTATTATTTTTTTAAAGTCCACTGTCATTGCTTTCTGGATAGGGATCATGGCGTACACTGAAGAAGGCATCCGAGAATTCGCCTACGTGGATATGGGCCAATTTCCACATGACTCCAACCTTACCGCCGAAGTCATTCTCCGATCATTACTCCACTTGAGAAGGAACATGAAGACCAAGCTACTGATCCAAATGGATAATTGCTGTCGGGAAAACAAGAACAAGTACATCCTCGCTCTAGCGCATGTTCTTGTGGATTTGGACATCTTTGAGGAGGTGAGTATGATTGAGGAGACTTCATGTAACCCTCTTTATGAACCTCCTTTACATGTGCATTTACATGGTTAATAGAATCTAATTTTTTTCTCCCTGAATTCCAGTTTTCTGATTATTTTAAATGACATTGAAAGTGATTTTGGAGAGAAAATTCATTGGTTTCAATTTAAACCTATTTGTGACAGTTATCCTATTCACATGGAATGTAAGTTTCACAAGTTTCATTTTCTTTCAGATTGTTTTCAACTTTCATCCTGTTGGCCATACCCACGAGGACATAGATCAGTTGTTCAGCACCATCAGTCAACATCTGCAATTTAAGGACTTGTGCTTGCTGGAAGGTGAGTCTCATGGAAAAGTAAAGAGAGTGCTACAAGTCAGCGATTTGGCCCATATGACCTGGTCAAAAGGAATTGGAATCACAAACGCCTTCATTCATTGGATGAGAGTCTCATGAGGTGAAAAGCAGTGGCTAAAAGTATTTTTCAAATGCGTTTTTTTCCAGATCTTTTGAGATGTCTGAGGGAAATCAAAAGGAGTGGGAGGAAGGAAGGTCTACACGTTGAAGAAATCGAACTGGTCCATGACTTCAAGAGCGTTGTCCAGTTCAACCTCCCGCGATTCTTCAAAGGACACAAGGACCCCCTTGGATTCCGCTTCCGGAAGTTCAGGGAAGAAACGCAAATGCATGTTCGCATGCATGCAGAAGAAGGA